CCTCCAGTCCTCTACTGGGCCTGAAGCGAGGGGTGGGCAGGGGGAGGCCTCACTCTTCTCTCACAGCCTGTGCTCCTCCCTCCGTAGGATGAGACCGGGGCCTACCTCATCGATCGCGACCCCACCTACTTTGGGCCCATCCTGAACTTCCTCCGGCATGGCAAGCTGGTGCTGGACAAGGACATGGCTGAGGAGGGTGAGTTGGTCCAGGGGGCTGGCCGGGCCCGCATTCTAGGCCTGCCCTCTGCAGTCTGCCAGGCCTTCTGTGAAGGTCCAAGGCCATGTCTCCCAGCCAGAGGGACATCTCCTTTCCTCTGTGTTCCCTGCCTCTTCCCATCCCTGACAGGGCTGAATCCCAGAGCTTCTGCCCGGGCTGAGCCCCGGGGCTCTGCCAAGCTGACCAGTCTGAGCTCTCACTAGGTGCCGTTGGGGAGGTGAAAGATGCACAGGCAGAAGTCAGAGGGAGCCAGCGAGGCTGGAAGCCTTCACTGTGGGCAGGGATGCCCTTTCTCTTGGTCTTCTGGGAAGCCAGGTGTGAACGGTGAAGCTGGGCAGGGTAATCCAGTATCTCCGACGCCTGTTGAGGGCTTGCAGTCAGCAGGTGGGCGGAGCGGGTGGCTCTTCCCCACATGCATCAACTTCTGCAGCACATTGCCTGCTGTGGGTAGAGGCAGGGAAGGAGGGAGCCTGCTCCTCAGAGGAGGTTTCAACCCTCCCAGGCCTGGCCAGCTGAAGCCCTGTAGTTGCCCACTTCTGGGCCCAGCAGATGGCAGAAGCTGTGCCTGGGGGGATAGCCTCTTCGCACAGTCAGTGCTACGTCAGCTCTTTGTTGGGGCACAGGGTGTGGCTCTGGGTCAGCTGACCCAGCCAGGCCAACTTGTACATGTCACTTCTCCTTTCTGAGTCTCCACCTGTATATCAAATGTAGGTGGTGATCTGCACTGGTGAGAGCATATTTTGCAACAACTAATATGGGTCCCGGCACTTGTACCCTGTGGGTATATAGCACAGTCCTCCCCTCCTTCCTAATGTATCCCCAGTGAGCCATGACTTCAAAGTCAGAGGCCACTATAGGCACTGGCTCAGCAGGGCCCACAGGCAGCCCCTCCGGGCACCGAGGTACCATGGGCGTGGCCTGGGTCCAGGAGCAGATCCTCGGGGAGGGGAGTAAACACTCCAGTGGCGTCATAGCCAACACCTATTTACAGGTTCTGGATTTCTCCATGCTTGGCCACTCCCACCACCTTCAGGCAGGCCTAGGGCCCCATGTAGGGGGTGAGGGATCTGGGAGGAGATTTATTAGCTTTGTAACACCGGCCAAGTCACTTATCCTTTTGTGCCTTTGTGCCGCATCTATGAAATGGGATGACAGTAGCACCCACCTTGCTGAGCTGCGGTGAGGATAAAAGGAGCTAATACAAGTGCGTCATTTAGTGCAGTGTCTGGCGCTGGGGACCAGTGATGCAGTGTTAGTTGCCTGTCATCTGCAGGGCTCCACAAGGGGCACTCAGGCAGCTCTGCTCGCTGACCACCTACTGTGTGTTGGGTGCTGTGTGGGCACTGGGGACAGCAGGGTAGATCAGACATAGACCCTGTGCTCAGGGAGCCCAGAGGCCAGTCATAGAAACACTCAGAAGGGTCCCTGCTCTTAAGGAGCTTAGGGGACTGCAAAGGCTGGGGGCCATTCCTCTTCACTGGAGAGGTGACTCACTTAGTTTCTAAGACCCAGTTCCCTTAACATATAGGATATGGGGACAATAATGCCTGCTTCTCTCATATCCCCTGAGCACAGGAGGGGCTTTGCAAACTGTGAAGTGTGGGAATCAGGGATATGCACATACGCAGAGATTATGCACCTACAGTGGGCTCTGAAGTCAGAAGAGTTTGAGTTTGAATCTCAGCTCAGCTGCTTCATGGCTGCAGGGTCATAGGCAAGCGCTCTTTCTGGTCCTCAGTTTCCCTATTTCTTCCGTGGGGCAATGAAAGTACCTACTTCTAGTTCCGAGAATTAACTGCAATAAAGAATGGAAAGTGCCGAGCATAGCGCCTGGCACTTGGCATGCACTTCACAAAGGGGAGCATGTAATGGGGTCAACCAGGGCCCTTCTCGTTGTGGCCTTCTAGGGGCCAGTCCCAGCGAGCTTGCTGCCTCTTGATGGCCCCAGAGCAGCCCCAGATTAGGGGATTGGTAGGCATCCCTTGGGGCACCCCACAGCAGAGACATTGGGCTGCTAAGTGGCAGTATTTCACCCCTTCCACAGAGCATGAGATGCAGGGAAGGAAATGTTCCCTTTTACTTGACCTGTGAACTGAGAGATGCTCGTCACCCTCGTGTGACTGGAGCAGGAGGTAGGTTTGGAGGAGGAGGGGACGGAAGAATGGGAGCAGTGGGAGTGACCGGGGACGGCTTTGTCTGTGCCAGGGGTCCTGGAGGAAGCTGAGTTCTACAACATCGGCCCGCTGATCCGCATCATCAAAGACCGGATGGAGGAGAGGGACTACACTGTCACGCAGGTCAGGCAGCAGGGGCAGCGGGGCAACTCCATGGCCAGAGCAATTGGTTATGGGAGAGGGAGGCGGGCAGAGAGCCAGGGAGGCAGGGGAGAGGTTGGGGAGTCCAAGCAGACTGCCCTGCAAAGCCTCAGACTAGGAGATCAACACTGGTTCTTCCACTGCCTCGGATCTGTTTACTGCATGACCTTGGGCCAAGCCTGCCCCTCTCTAGACCTTGGTTTCCTCTGATGCAGTACAGAGGTGCTGAGAGCTGCCCACCCCTGCCCTTCCACATAGGCAGAATGGGGTCAGTGTGAAGGTACAGGGGGCCCTTTGGGGGGCAATGCAGGATTAGCTGGAGCTGGCATTTCTGAGCTTGGACCCTGGGCCTCAGGGACCAGTCTGTAGGAGGAGCTGTGAGATTCTCAGCCTGTCCTGGGGGAGAGTTGGGGGTGGGGAACAGGTAGTGAGACACCAACTTCTAGCCTCAGATTGAAGGTGGGAGGCTCCGTGTCTCTTTGAGGGCCTGCCTCAATTAATGACCCAGAATGTCCCCCAAGCCCATCCCTTCCCTCTTGTATCATCTGTGTTCCAGCTCTGGCTCTGCCACTCTTTAGTTTGGTGACCTTGGGCAAGTAACTGACCCTCAGAGCCTTCATGAAAATCCCATAACTCATAGAGTGTTTGGGAGGGTCGAGATCACAAATGTCGGGGGCTGGCACACAGTTGGCGCTCAAAACATGGCTCCTATCTTCCCACCCTGCCACTCCCCTCCTTCTCTCCTTCTAGGGGTACATGGTATGGGAGCAGCAGCTGGGGGAAGGCGGGTGCTTGTCCCCCTCCCAGGGTGCCTGTCGCCTCCACAGGTGCCCTCCACATCGCCCTTCTGCCTGCAGGTGCCACCCAAGCATGTCTACCGTGTGCTGCAGTGCCAGGAGGAGGAGCTCACGCAGATGGTCTCCACCATGTCTGATGGCTGGCGCTTTGAGCAGGTGGGCTGAGGACATGGGGACGATGCCCAGGGCTTCCCAGTCTCCAGGCAAAGCAGGCCCTCCCCTTCCTGCAGCCCCAGCCTTGGGTCCCCTGACGCCACCCCAACCCAGGGGTCTTAAGTTAAAGTAAACAAGACCAGGAAAGGCCACACTAGCAGCAGACTGACCTGGAAGAGAGGGTAGGAGCCCTACTTGCTGCAGGGCAGCTCTGGGCATCCTTGGTGGGAGTGCTCATAGCAACTGGGCAGTAGTCTACATGGTAGCGTGAGCGAACTCAGGTGCAAGGAGTTGAGAGCCACATAGGAGCGTAGTCCACCTGAGGTTGACACCTGAAACAATTCCACAGGCACAGCTCCCAGGGTCCCTGCAAGGGACATGCCCAGGTACAGGTCTGGCCACATTCAGGGAAGCCCAAAGCAGTGACTGCCTGAGAAATTTATAGTGACTTCTAGTTCCTCCAGGTCCAGATGCAGGTTTCCCATCAGGGAATTTTTATCCTAAGTGGCGTTGCCCTAGTAACATAGCAGACGTCCCACCGGTGTCAGGTTTCCAGAGGAACAGAGCAGTGAGCTAACCTGAAGTCAGACTTTCCCCTACAGAAGGAGGATTTGGATAGCCCTTTATCCACATGCACACACATGCTCCCTGTGGAGGTCAGAGAAGGGAGAAGACTGGGCTCCCTCAGATGGCTGGGCAGTGTGGAGGAAGGAGCCCCCTCCAGGAGCCAGAGGCCTGATTCACATCTAGGCTTCACCAGTGACATACGGTGTGTCTCTGGGCCTCAGTTTCCTGATCTGTGATGCAGGACTGTGAAGGTTAGAAGGACCATTGACAAAGCCCCCAGCTCAGGGTAGGACCCTAGACATTGAAACGAGCTAGGACCCTAGACATTGAAACGAGCTGGCATCATACAAATAATTAGAAGTATTTAAGTCTGTAAGACCCCAGAGAGGCCTTGGGATCTCAGATTCTAATTCCTGTCCACTCCTCCTGGCTGTGGGACTTTTGGCAGGTCACCCCTCTCCAAGCCTTGTCTGCCAAATCGGCTGATATTTTCCTCTGCCTGCTGGATGAAGGTCCCTGGGGCCTGAGTGAGACCTGTCATGTGTAGGGCTTTTGTCAGCCAGAGGGGCTGGTGGATGTGGTTATACTAGGGACCCCAGAATAAAGGTAGGGCCACCCTGAGAGCCTGAGGGAGTCTATGGCCATTGCATGGGTTCTCAGAGGCCGAGCCAGCAGGTCAGGGGCCACTGAGCATTTACCCTGTGGCCTGAGGAGGGGGTGACCTGTCCTCCCTCTGCTTCCAAGAGTGAACAGAATATTTGTCGGGGCTCCACCATGCCAACCTTGTTCTAGGACTGCTTCAGCCACTTCTGCTACAGCCTGCCTATTACAGGCCTCCTGCTTTTAGGAAGTGGCCTGCTAGATCTAGATTTGGGCTGGGCCCGGGTGGGGGTGGGGAGGAGCAGCAATACCACCAGCGTCCTCCAGGGACCAAGCCTAGGCTAGCCAGGGAGGCTGGTCTGAAAACACACCAGAGGCGTGGATGGGGACACGGAGTAGACTTTACTTTCAGCCCAGGAGTATCCTCTGGAAACCCAGGAATGCGCCTGAGCAGAACAGCCAAATCGGGGCACACGTTGGTGTCTTGACAAGGGCCAGTGGCCACTTCCTCCCTCCTCACTGCTCCCAACTGCCCCTGTCATCTTTCTCCCTGCGCCATGCCTCTAGCTGGTGAACATCGGCTCCTCCTATAACTACAGTGGTGAGGACCAGGCAGAGTTCCTGTGTGTGGTCTCCAAGGAGCTCCACAGCTCCCCCCACGGGCTGAGCTCTGAGTCCAGCCGCAAAACTAAGGTGAGCCCCACCCTCAGCTTCCCTGCCTCCCTCCCTCCCCGCCTTCCACGTAGTCATCCCTGCTGCTACTTTCTCCCTCCTGCACACGCATAACCCCTCGTCATGGCCAATGCCATCCATCTCATGCCACCCGTGGTCCTGTCTGCTCATGCTGGTCACCCAGGCCCAGGCTGGGGGAACAGTGAGATGGGACCACCCTGAGGGTGTGGTAACAGTGACTTAGATGCCACTTGAATGGTGGCACGAGGTGTGTCCTGGACTAGAGGGGTCTGGGCATGATACGCCTCTCTCTGTGTGACCTTGGACAGGTTCCCATACCCTCAGCACCTTCATTGTGCTGTGTGAGAACTGAGGGGATAGATCATGTCCTCTCAGTGGTGCCGTCAAGCTTGGGACTTCTGGGATCCCAGGGGCCAGTTTATTCCCAGGGGCAGATCAATGTCCCCAGCTGGCCTGTTCCAGGGTGGGGAAGCCACATCTGTTAGTCATGCCCCTTTCCCAGGCCCCCTCCCTGGGCATTCTGCAGGAGGGGGATCAGGAACCCTGTGGGTCTGGCCCTATGTTTCCACGCTGGCCTTCGGGGCAGCATCAGCTAGTTGTGAGGAACAGAGGTCCTGCCGCCCTGGACCCTCAGCTGATCGGAAGCCTCAAGCGCCTTCTGTAGGGCCAGTGGGACAGTCAGCAAGCCAGGCCAGGAGGAAGGGAGACTATTCCTTCTGGGGTCTGTCCCTGTGCCTTGGAGACATAGAGCTCTGGCTTCCTGTCTGTCTGTTTGCCTTCCCTGTCCTGTGACTTCCCTTGCCCACCAACCCCTTGGGGCCAGTGGCTGGCCCTACCTTATAGGGGTACAGAATGAGGCTTCTGCCTCTGGGCCAGAGCCTCGGGACCTGGGGTGCCAGAGCCTGTTGCTGGCATCCCAGAACTGGGTGGTGACTGCCTTGGGTCTTCCCTGGCCTCATTTCAACTCTGGGGCAGCCCTCCTAAAATGGGGCCTTTCCAGGCATCCCTCAAGAACATCCCAGCCACCCACCCACCCCAGTCCCCTTCCCTTACCCAGCCTGCTCCATGCACCAGCAGCCAGACTGGCCCACGAGCACCCCAGCGGGGCCCTTCCTCTGCTAGCTCCTCCAGTCCCTTCCCAGGCTTCCCAGGGGATGGGACAAAATGCCCAGCTTCTTTGCTGTAGCTCCCCCCTGCTGGAGTTCCCCCTTCATGTAGCCCAGCGCCTGCCCTGAGCCGGGGCCCACGGGTCAGCTGCCCACAGGCCCCCTCGTTAGCTCTCCACTCTTTCTTCCCTGGGTCCGCCGGCTGGTCCACAGAGCGCGGAGGAGCAGCGGCAGGAGGAGCAGCGGCAGGAGGAGGAGGTGGAGGTGGAACAGGTGCAGGTGGAGGCAGATACACAGGAGAAAGGTGCAGCCGCCCCCGAGAACGATTGCTAACAGCAGCCGGACCTCCCGCGCGCTCCCCGCCCCCGCCGGAGCCGGCGCAGAGCTGGGCCAGGGCTGTGGGCGCCCGCCAGGCTTAGGGCAGCCGCCGGCACTCGCCTGCATAACCATCCCTCTCTCACTTTCTCTCTGCAGCCCCGTCATCTCAGGATCCCGCTAACCTTTTCTTCCCCCCACCGCCTCCTCCGCTTCCCGCCGGAGGTCCTGCCTCACCTTCATCCACCTCCTGGATCTCATCTGCACCCTGCCTCTTCCCTCTCTGCCCCTGCCCGGGTTTCCTCTCTGCCTGCTCACGCCTCCATCCCGGGCCACCCTGGTCCCAGCCTCCCGTGCCCTCCACCCAGGTGCCCCAGCCTCGCATCTCAGAGCATCCTGCCTGCCGCCTCCCGCACCCCTTCTGGCAGCTCCTGCCTCCTGGCCTGGGGAGGACGGGTGCAGCTGCGCCTCCTCGGGGCCTGCCAACCCCACCGGGCTCCTCCGAGGCTGGGCTGCCCAGCCCCAGCACTTCGCCTCCTTGCCGCCTCCTCACATTTCCTCCTTGCAGGTTCCTGTGTGCACCCCTCAGACCTGAGGCTGCGCTTGCAGTGAGGGCCTCTCAGCCCCTCGCCCACCCCCAGAGCTGCCATCCCCGGTTTGTAGCTTGGCGGAGCTGGAGGGAGGGCAGAAGCCAGGAGGGGTGCTCATTTCTTGTTCCTTGGACTCGGGCAGAACTTTTGGCTGATTTTTCTCCCATCACCAAAGTTTCTGAGCCGATCTTGGCCTTGGATGTGAGGCTATGAGAGGAGAAAGTTGAGGGCGGAAACTGTGCCAGCTGCCCATCAGTGCCAGAGCAGGCTGGGCAGGAGGGAGGGGAAATGAGCCGTATGCCCTGTCCTCCCCTGCACAGAGGAGCCCCTGCCCCAGCCTCACGGCCGGGCTCCCTGTCTGTGGGGTGGAAAGGACAGGCCGTACTTTGGATCCCCTTGGCCTGCCTGCGAGGAGTCAGCCAGAGCCGGCTAAGGATCGGGGCAGCAGAAAAGCCCTGGTCACGTGCCCAGAAGCCCCCAGTCAATCTTGTCTGCCTGCTGTGTGACTTGGGGCTAGTCACTGTTCCTCTAAAATACTAGTTGCCTCTAAAGTGGGGACAGATACTGCTCTCTATGACCTGCCTTTCAGCCTTGACCCCCTGACCAGAGTCTTGGCAGAATCTGGCCTCCTAAGCAGCCACCACTAGCCCAGAAGGGGGCATGGGCTCCCAGATGGGCGAGCTGGTCCCCTTCCTGCTCCCCCTCCTCCTGGGCTCTGAACCCCCCTTCTCTGGGCTTCAGCCCCCCTCCTCCTCCCAAAAGGGACCCTGTTACTCACCTACCTCTTTCTCTCTCCCTCTCTC